AAAAAAAAAAAAAATCGCGGACCGAAATAGAAATAGGCGGGTTTACCCCACCTTATGGCTGTCTCTACGTACCATACGGAGATAATCCTAATTGACTTCTTTCCCTCCATTGATGCCATCACCGCTTTTACATCGAACCCCCCCCCATACACACACCTACGCGCAGAAGAGACGTACCGCCTACCTCGTCTGCCTCTTCCTGTCGTCGTTCCTTTTTTTCATCACGTGGCAATTTTCCGTTTTCGTGACGCTGACCCATGTGGTGGCTCTGTTCGGACTAGACCTACTAGGATTTGATATTCAGAAGGAGTTACACAGCATCCTTGTCACATTATCCTGCTCCTACACATGTTCCCTCCTGGTGACCTTCTTCCCTCGTTATTTGATGTGCACCTACCTGCCATTCGTATTGGCTTCGCTCATTATCACGAATGCGATTTACCCACGGCGAGGTGGCAATGCCCATGATGGAAGACGTGAACCCGTTTCTAACCTAAAGGATGTTGCCCCGTGTCAGATCGACCCCTCTTGCACATCTCCCCTGCAGTTCTTCCCCCACTTACGAACCAAAGTAGGGTTCATTCTACAGAAGGGGTTCACATCTATAATGATTTTCCTGCTTCTTCGACTCACCATGGTTGGAATGGAGAAGGATGACTCACATGTTATGTCTCTTTTAAAAGTGCGTCTGCATCTAAGTAGCCACAACTTCGATAGCATGATCTATAGTTTGGGTTCAGAATTCAATCCTTTTACTAAATATATGTTTAACATGATAAAGGAGACTTCGCTGTACGATTACTTCATATTTTTTAATTTGATTCTGCTACTCTACGTGGTGAACTATGTTATACATATTTGGCGAGCTAGACGAGGGAGGAATGCCAAAGGGGGGCGAAGCGATAAAAGGGAGAAAAAAGATGAACAAGGAGGGAGCGATAAATTGGCTAGCTACGACAAAGGGGTAGATGTCCGTTTCGAAATTTTCCATGCACAGTTTCTTTACCTCATCATCCAATTCATATTTTTCGCCTTCCTCATGTTGATAATTTCTCGCTTGCGTGTCCTGGCCCTACCCCTCATGTGTTTGCTTAGTAGTCTAGTGGGGTCTCCACACTTGCTTGGGGACATCTACAGAGTCACAAGGGAAAATTTGTTCCACCTCGGGTATGGCAGACGCGTATTCTGCGCGCTGATCATGGTGGTCACCCCACGCATGCCCGATGCAGCGCCTATCCTGTCGGCGGATGAGCGATACACGGATGAGCGGCACACGCATGAGCGACACACCGTTTCCCCCCCCCCCGCAGGGCCAGCAAGAAGAACCTATCCCGTCTGGTCATCCAGGCGATCTGCCTCCTCGAGTGCGCGTACCCATTTGCAAAATACTTCCCGACCTACGAATACGTCAACCTCGCGGGCAACGCGCCAGTCAACTTAGAAAAAAACATGGACCTGGTGTTGTGGCTTCGCCAGAATCTGAAAGAAGGTGAACCCATTATCACGGACATACCTACATCTAGCTTCCTCAGATCGACAACCAATTTTAAAATGGTTCTGAACCCACAATATGAACATGTAGATATGCGAAGGAGAGTACAGGATTACTACATGTTCTCTTCATGTCTTCCTTTCAGTGATGCGAAAAGGTATTACTACGACAAATACAAGGTCCGTTATTTCGTGTCAAATATATACAGATGTGCTTCTACATCTAACCAAAAGCTGAATGCCTTTAGCATTGCTGAATTCGTGGGTTCAGACTATGCAAGATGTACAAACAAAAAAAGTATGAAATTCTGCCAACGCGTATTGTACGATGATAGAATCTATAAGACTCTTTTTCGAAACGGAAAATTCAGTGTCATTTATTTTGAACCCATAGATGTAATGGATGATGATTCTCCTTATGAGCAGTTCGATGAGGGCAAGTACGCTGATATTAAATTCTACACTCCATGGATCTCCAGATGCATCAAAACGGATTCTAAATGCCAAAAGCACATTGTGGACGTGGCTAGATCCTACCTCGATATTATGAGATGCAGCAAAATTGGGTTCACACTTTATAAGTTCGTGGAGCGGACCTTCCTTGAGGGGAGGGAAAATGCCGTTTCATTCAAGCAGGGTGATCTTCTCTCCGTGGGTACCCACCCCTCTGATGAACCACCACTACTACACCCCCCCTCCCAGGGGCACAGCCTAGACATGCTTTTTCACCTGGCCGAGTTTTACGACTATGATGTGCGCGATGTGAAGAAGGCGGGCGAGCTGTACAGGAGAGCCATTCAGCTGATCACGTTTCAGAATGGGCTCGACGGAGCCTACTACCCCCACGCGGTCGTCCCCAGCTTGGTCCCCTTTGTACCTATCGCGAAACGCATTCAGATGATCACATCATACATTTATTTCCTCCTAGACAAGGATTCTTCTTCCTCTTCTGGGCGGGCCGACATTCTGCATCTATACCAGAACATGGACCTCCTTGTGGTTGTGGCGGGTTCTGCGCTGGACAACGGGTTCTACTACGAAGGGGGTGCGACTCGAATGAAGGAGTCGCCCAGCAGGGGGGAATCACCCAACGCAACCAACGCACTGAACCGTAGCGCTGCCCCCCAAATGAATCACCCACAAGACGGACAAACGATAAGAAGAACATTCAACGAAGGGGATCTGGACTCAGCCGTAACTGTGCTCTGCGAAAATGCAACCTACCTCTACAAAATTAGAAGACAAAACCCAAAGTACAATCCTATTTATAAAAAAATGTGGAGCTTGGCTAAGCGCGTCTCCCACATGAATGAGTGTGTTTTGAGGAATTATTATTTTTTTGAGGGCAGGCAGATTGGGGTCCTCGATTACCTGGCCTTCTTCTACCTCTACCGCTGACGGGGTGGAGCTGGAAGACAGGCACTGGGTTCGGAGTAACCCAGATTGCACTACCCTCACGCGGCTCAGTCACTTCAAAAGGATGAGGAGGAAAAACACACCGACAACTACTACGGCCACGACGATCCAGACACCTGCAGAGGGGGGGGTTGGGGCGATTTTTAGAGGCACACCAAAAATGTATTAACATTTTTTTTTTCTGTTTCATAGTCGCGCGCGACACCCCAGTTGTGCAAAACGAACAACTGGTTGGTCCGCTCGAACTGCAGCAAAAGACACTTAGGGGCATCCTCACCTGTCCACTTCAAGCCGTGCATGATGGACGCCGTGGCGGCTCCGAGCTTCTCATTGATGGTGACCCAATCAACGTATGTCCTGTTTTCCGTGACGGGGGGCAGGAAGGGGTCCTTGTTGGGTTCGTCCCGTCCGTTGCCAACGGGGTCGACCTCCGCCTCTGCCTTGGGCAGAATGCACGCCTCGACCTCGATGCTCCCGCGCACCTTGTTCTTGTGGGCGGGGTGCTTACACTGCAGCCAGAACCTGATGGGGGATGGGAGGGGCACAGTGTGCGTGGCTCGGTTATGTGCTAGGCCGTTTACACAAAGCGTCGTTTTGTGAACGCGTGTGTGTTATCATACCGGCGCATGTGCTGTCACGCCGCACCAACCTGGGGATGTGGTAGAGGCCGCGCTTCTTCCTAGCCCGGTAAAAGTGCGCCGCGAGGTTGAGCGTGGCCTCTCCGATGGGTTCACTGGAAGACAGCAGGGCGTAGTTGTGCACCTGCACCTTGATGTTAGTGGCATTTGTAGGGATCCTCACATTATACACAAAGCGCCAGTTGAACACGGCCTTCCCATCCTTGCTGTTGTAGTGTGTGTCCGTGTCTCTCTTATCTTCTGTATCTTCATCTGCGTAAATGCATCTCACGAAAAGACTAATGGTGGGGTTGTCATCCAATGAAACGTTGCTGACCTTCCAGATGACCACCCTGAGTTGATAATCATCGGGTTCATTAGAGCATAAAATTTTGACTGGATTCCTTTGAGCAAATTCTTCAGTAAAAATTTCAAACCAACATCTTAAGGACCCATGAGAGATGGTGCTATTCTCCAACTTCAAAGATCTTAACTCAATTGGCATACCATCATCCATCATGAGTTGCCTGATCTTAGGATTGAAGTACCTGTCCTCCATATCGATGTAGGTGTAACCAATGACCTCATCTGACAGAGAACCCTGATTCATGATACACACTTGGATAATGGATTCATCAGGAAAAGAACACAACAGCTGGTAGGATCTATTGAATTCAGGTTTGTATCCTTGTCTTTTAATATGCCCTGTGTCTTTTATATTATGTGAAAGTCCCCCAGGGATGTTAGTAATTTCGTTGCTGTTCTTAATCCACACGTAGGTAGTTATATCTGTTGCTCCGGATGGAGGGTTCAACCCTCTCGCTTGAATGATATAAGCTCTTACAACTAAATTACGAGTCAACTTGTACTCACTCACCAATTTCTCACATTTCTTCAACATGTCCTTTTTCAAATGAATCGTTTTATCATCGTATACACTACACAAATACTTTAGGTACCCTACTGCTTCTGGTATACCTGAATCGGTGCATCTAAATATTGTGGCTCTTAGGTAAGGTAGGTCGTCAACATTCATATCGACCTCATATTCGTATAGCATTTCATCCCTCTGTATTTCTTCCTGTTCATCATCAGCGGCTATGGCTAACTGGAAATTCAGTGCATCCTCACTAAACCCATGAATAGTTTTTCTTTCTTTTTTTTTATTCACTTGTGTATTTTTTTCCTTCCCTTCATCGTAGTTCTTCCCTTTGAAGAAATTTATGTCTCTCAACTTTATCCTCTTTTGGCTTGCGTTGCTGTCCTTCTCTCCATATTCGTTTTCCTGCTCCGCACTCACATCTTCCTCACTAGCGTACTCGCTCGCCTTGAAGCACACGTGCTCCAGTGCCTCCTCTATTCGTACGTTTGCAAAATCGGGGTCGTTATAGGGTACGTACTCCTTGTTGATGAATTTTTTCATGTTTTTTTTTTTCGTCCTGCTGGGGTTGTTCTGCGCGGGGTAACTATCGTGGTTCCGCTGCTGTGTACCTTTTTTGTCTGCACCGTTTTTGTCTGCACCTTTTTTGTCTTCACCCTTTTTATCTGCCTTTTTTTTATCCGTGCTTTTCTCACGTGGTATTTCCTCACTTGGCATTTCATATGGCACTTCCTCATCTGTGTTTTTTCCCCCGTGCGGGTCCCCGGCGGTGTTGCCCGTTCGTATAGTTTCGTCTCCCTCATCCGGGTCAAAGTCCGCCCCGCCCAGTTCAATCGCCGCCTCCGTGACGACCTCGTCATCTGCCCGTGTGTCATCCGCCTCAGAGGAGAGTACCTCGGAGGCGCCCTCCTCCAGCACATTCAATGACAAGGCGTGGAACCCCCCCCCCGTGCCGGCCCCCCCATCATCTGCGTCCCCCTCAGTGTCCGTGATATTTTCTGCTCCTCCCTCACCGTCAAACAAGACGTTTGTAATTTTCCTAGACACCATGGAGCTCTTTTTATAAACCAAAGCAGTATTGTAAGATTTGCGTGCCCTCTCTGCATCTTCCATTAGAACCTCTTCTAACAAATGCAACTTAAATAATTCCACGCATTCATCCTTCTCATATTTGTCTAGCCAAGGAAGTAAAGGGTTCAGTGTGATGTAAGCAGTACCTATTAAGTTATTATTATTAGTAGCCTTGGCTGACTGGGATACATTCCCCCCGGTGGAAGTGAACCCAGAAGTAAGTTCTCGATCCTCCACACGAACTTCTAAAAAGCTATGGTGTTGCATCCGTTTGGGTAAAGCAACATCTAAAGAAAAATATTTTAAAAAATTCCAATTGCCTTCCTTACCAGATATAACTTTACTAACAGTTTCATGCCACAGAAATTGAGACGTGTCATCCACATCCCTCCCGAAGCAGACTGTCACAGAAGGATTCTTTAAAGGTTTGAACATACGTATGCCAACAAGGAACAGAGAGACATGACCTGGTAAGGTAGAAGGTCTTATATCATCATAAAAGGGGTAGCTATCATCTAATACTTTTTCTAAAGGTACTAATTCAAAGCCCACCAATAGCTTCGCTTTACATTTTTTATAATGAGGTGATTTCAGATTTACCCAAACAGGAGACCTTTTCCATTCGATAGGGACCTTCATGATGGGGTAGGTACATGACCCTAACAGAATATCATCATCGTTATACAAAAATGTTTTATTAACAGAAAAGGCTTCAATAGATATATCTGGAGCGAGATTCAGGTTAGTTGGAAGAATTACTTCCACTTCATAAGCTTCATAGTAATTAGGGTTCAGTGTGTGCAATATGGTACTTGTCTTTATTGTTTGTCCTGCTAGTTCAATTTTTATGTAGGGGTCTGGAAAGGAGTCATAACCCTTGGCGGGGAAATGTAACCCTTCATAGATTAAGGCTCGAAAAAAGTACCTGGACAATTTATATTCCAACCGTTCTTGTCTTTTCTTAAACAAATGAAAAGGAACTAGGTTGGCATAAAATGAGATACTATAATCATGGGTACTAGTATCTACATTCTTCATGGCAAACCATTTGGGCTTATTCTCACTAAGAAGTAAGTACTTAAAAGGGATTCGTACATAACTTTTTAATTTATAATTACTCATAAGATCAGAGTCATTGAAAAGATCTTCTGAATGCTTGTTTATGGAACTCATATGATTCAACTTCATACATTTATTTGCATCTGTTGTGTTATACAAATCTAGGTTATTGTGTAGAACTCCACCACCAGAATTATACACACTCCTCCGAGTAGTAATCCAATCTGTCACAGCAAGATTTGATTTCACGTAAATGTAAAGAAAAATATCATATATCTGATCTGTATTGTTCTGTGGTAAGAAAATTCTAAATTCATTTATCCTTCCTGTATTCTCGTTCAGAACATAAGAACCTACTTCGTTTGGCAACAGTGGAGATGTCTTCAATCTATGTGGACCTAACCCACATACACATACAATGGTGTCCCCATTACCATCATACGTTTTGTTATAAGACCCTTGTACATGTTCCGAGTTATAATTTCCACCCTTATTGTGGTTGCTCCGAACGGATAATATTTCATAAATGTCGGCGCAAAAAATGAATTCTTTATTTGGTGGGTCTGGTTCTACTCTAGCTGACTTTATACGTATAGGTCCTGGTGCATGTGTTTTGGTAGCACTTACACTAAGGAAAACTCTTCCTCCATAAAGATAAAATTCTTTCAAATTTTCGTCATACGTAAACATATTCTGCATTTTGGTCACTCCCAATATTTCATTAATATTGATTCCTTGTGTTGCATTTTTGAATAACTTTTCCGCCGTCGCTGAGAATAGATAATTCCCTAGTGCATTAGCAGATGTCGGGGCATTATTACTATGAGTTATACTAGGTGCATTAGCAGTAATGTTTTGGTTATATATACTACTTCTCGGAGCAATCTGATTTTGAGGGTTGTAATATATATTATACCATCTTGGTTGCAGTTCCCTTTTCAAAATCTCAAACAAGTCTAGCAAAACGCTCAGCATCACCACTCCATTATGTTCTCCATTCACCAACTCTATAATTATATTTTTGTCGTAACATGGAGTACAAGTAGGGATGTGTACACTTAAGTTCCATACCGGGTTTGGGTCATTTCTAATGACCTTGGTACTTTCTTCGAACCCGTTGTGGGTTACCTTCACATAGGGTTCTAACGTGTTCGAAAATAACATACTGCTCCCAATAAAGTCCATATCCTGTCCCCGGAAAATGTTTACACATAGATCATAGTGTGTGATGTGTATGTCTAGTCCTTTGTTCGCCCCGAACTCGGTGTTGTCATCCCCCTCTTCTTCTTCTCCTCCCTCAACAGCAGCGGAACCAGAATCACCACCTGTTCCTAACCCACTAACATGTGGTATATGCACAGAGTCCCCTATATTGGTCTTTACACTATCATTTATGATTGGAATAGAATCCCCTGGCCCATAGACCCCCACAGAAATGAGCAAGTACCCAACTTCATCGAGGGGTAAATCTGGGTTCCTTAACCTGACCCAAATTCTATACAGCCAGTGCTGTGCCTTGGAGTACACGTAATTTAAACCAAAGGAGCATTTTCCAATGAGGGCACTTTGTATTGTGTACTTGTGCAACACACACACGTCTACACTGGTCCGCTGAAAAAGATAATCGGTTAAATCCATGGAGAAGTTGAACGACGTGTTGTATGCCACATTCACTGCTTGATTTTTCTTCGGTGTGCATTTTTTTTCATTGTTCACTGTGACTTGGACGTAGGGGTTGGGGATGATTTCCTTTTCGTTGGCGCTTTCACGGAAGCTCAGATCCTTCACTTCATGTATATCCACCTTGATGTTGTATTGCGTCTTCTTTGCGAAGTTCATTTTGGGTCAGGTGATGGGAGAAGTTGCTCGTCACATACTGGCGCCCAATCGAGTGGTCTCCGTGTGGCTGTCCACCTTTCCTTTCTGGGACCCTTTCCCCCCTCCCCACGGCTTCCCTTTCGGTTTACGCCAGTTTGATCGGAATGGGGTGTTCATGTCTGCCTCAATCTTGTTCCCATTGTGTGTTTGTTCACCGCTTCTCTGCCAAATTGCGCCTTTTTTTTTTTTTTTTTTTCTGAACGTGCAGGCGAAAAAGACCCTTTGAGAGAATTTTTTTTTTTTTTTTAACAAAATAGCTAAGTTGTTCAGGCGAAAAAAGGCAAATTGTGCGCAGCTGCTCAGAAATGAGTCTTTAAAAAAATTAAAAAATAATAAAATAAAAAAAGAATAAAATAAAATAAAATAAAAGCATGATGGTGAAACATGGAAAATAAGGCCAATGTGCCAGTTAAAAAAAAAAGGGGCTCATGCAGGGGAACATATAACCAGTTGAGAAACTCCTCACACATCGCGCGGTCCCCACTATGTGTAATTCGAGACCGACCAAAGATATGCCCCGGCACGTACCACAGAAGGAGTCCCCCACCCCAACAGACGAAACCGTCTATGCCACTTGGGCATGTGCACGCAGCTGTTCAAACGGGGTTTTGCATCCCCGTCGCCCCAAAGAAGGCACAGCACATGTGCAGATTGTGTGTAATGCGATAGGGGCGGGGCTGGAGCGGATCAAACATTCATGCGAACAGTCATGAGATGCACCACATGGGATGCATAAACAGGAGTGTGCAACCCTTTTTTTTTTTTTCTATTAAAACGAATCAACAGGCAGTTGTGTGGAATACATACTCTCCCTGACGCTGAATAAGGCATTTGTATTAAGTGGCGACAGCTCGCACAAGTACCCCCCCCAAAACCATCTTCCTGTGGAGCCTACTTATGCGTGTACCTTCTGATGAAATGAACCCATAGGAAAAATTTATCCCCCTTTTTTTATATGCCCCACTGGGGGACTTTCTTTTTTTTTTTTTTTTTCCTACCCTTCACCGAACATCACGCAAGAGTGAAAAAAGTGGTGGTACCCCTTTTTTTCGAAGAAGCCTTTTAAAAGGGGGGGCGGTGTGTGTGTGTGTTTGGGGCCAAGGTGTACGTGACACCCCAAAGAGGAGCAAACCCCAAAATGGAAGGAGCAAAAGACGAAAGAAACAAATTCTTGTTTGTCACAGTAGGGTCGTACAAATTTGATGATCTAATAAAGCAGATCGACACGAAGGATTTCCACATGTTCCTCCGAAGTGAAGGATTCACCAAAATGAGCATTCAGATCGGAGAGGGCACCTACGAACCAAAGTTGATCTACAGACATAGCAGCAATGGGGAAAAGCAGTTCCTGAAGCGAGTGAAATTCTTTCGCTACAAAAAAGACTTACTAAAGTACTTTCAAAAGGCTGACCTCATTTTAAGTCATGCCGGCGCAGGGACAACCTTCGAAGGGTTGCGCATGAACAAGAAAATGCTAATAGTGGTAAACGACAAATTAGTGGACAACCACCAGTTGGAGTTTGCAAGACGCCTAAGTTCGCTGAACTACTTGGAGGTGTGCGAATGCTTGGAGGACTTGCGGCCGAGGGTGCTGCGATGCCTGAGGATGCCTGCGTTCGCACCCTTGCCCGCCCCGCAGCCGGAGCCCTTCCTGCGAGACCTCCGCGCAGTGATGGACGAAGCGGCATAGCGCAACATAAGCGAGACACATCGCGGCACAGAGCAGTGCCACGCTGAGCTCAACAAATTGACCAACGCACAGGGGGTCGCTTGGATGTTTCACAAAAAATTACGCATCTATGCGTAGAGAGGGAGAAAAAAAAAAAAAAAAAAAAAAAAAAAAAAGAGCTAATGCGGTAATGATGCAACGGCACAACACCCTCGCACAAGAAGCGACTTACAAAATTGTTACGCACCGGAAAAAAAAAAAAAAAAAAATGGAAAAAAATTGGTCACCATTGGAAGGGAGAAGAAGATAGGGATAATTAAAAAAACACAACAGGGGATGATAACTATGTAATTTTTAGCAAAAAAAAAAAAAATGATCTACATGAAAAACATACAAATGGTAAGATTCGTATAAATTAGGCACAAAAAGGGGTGCGATGTATCGCACGGGCAGAAAAAACACATCTTGAAAAGGGGGGAAAAAAAAAGAAAAAAAAAATTGGGATTAGGGCTTTCCCCCTCCTGCCTTCCTTAAAAAAAAAAAAAATGAAGGCTTTCTTCCGAAATGGAAAAAGTTGGGGTGTCATGTCATCCCGACATTGTTATCCCTCGTTGGGGGTGGTGGTGGGAACAACTCACACTGCTATGTGCACGTGCGATACGCGAAGTTAAATGTGTGTATGTCTTTGTAGCCTGTCTTTTGCAACGGCTTGTATGGGAGGAACCCTAACTTGTGTAAATAACCCACTGGAATTGTTACCTTTCCCTTTTTTTTTTTTTTTTTTTTTTTTTTTTTTTTTTTTCCTTTTTTTTTTTTTTTTTTTTTTTTTTTTTACCTTTCTGCACCACGCCGGGTGGCTGGTACTTTATCCGCACGGGCCGCTTCTCCCTAAAACTGAAATGGAGAGTTGGGAAAAATGGGGCTGCATTTCGCAAAGCCCACGTGTAAAGCGACGGCTCCACTACTCCTAGTAGTCCTCCCTTTTAAAGAAATCGTTGTCCTTCGCTCTTGACGCGGCGGCCTCTTCCTCTTCCTCCTCCGCTGCTGCCTTCTCCGCGGCCTTCAAAATGACCGACTCGAACAGCTGGTTCACATCAAACTCCTTAGAGTCGCTCATATCTGTCTTGGTCTTGGACAGCCTCAGCATAATTTTCCCAAGCAGTTTTAACCCCTTGGCTCTTTGCAACCTGATTTGTATGGGGACCCCTTCATCTCGCAGGACCTTCTCCGCTACCTTCCTCACGGTGCTTTCAATATCCCACAGGACGACCTTCAGAACATTTTTTATAATAATGCCAAAGGCTTCATTATTCTTCTTTTCAAAGTAGGCCTCCCGATCCATGTCTTTCCTCGAACCTGACTTTTTCTTGCCGGAGTCATCATTCGTTTTGGCTGGTTGGGACGTGCCGCTACTTACATCCTCCACGTTGCTGCGTGGCCCCACTGCACCACCATCGACCCCCTCCTTGTCCTTCTTCTTATTCTTTTTCTTCCCCTTACGCTTGTCCCCCAAAAAGTCGCTAAACTTGTTAGCAACTTTATCCTTGAACTTGCCCTTGGTTGATTTATCACTGTAGTATCCTCCCCCCCCAGTGGAGTCATCACTCAAATTTCGACTTCCAACATCTTCCGTTTGTTTATTTCGCGTATTACATTGTTCCGCTTGACTGTCTTTCCCTTCCTCCACTGACATCATCTTTGCCCCTCCTGCCAAATCGACACCCCCCCCCCCTTCAATACTTTCTTGCATTTCGTTATAAGTGGCCATTTTTTGCATGGTGAGGAAGGTACTAATGATGGATGTAGCTAGCCCGAGATTATTTTGAACAGATCTTTTCTGTGCTTGTATATTTGGCACCGTAGCTCCCATGCCCCACAAAGTTGTTACTTCAGCAATGAAGGAAGCAGCGGTATTGCGATAATTCCACCCGATGGATTCTAAAATGGAACTTGAAAAAGATGAATCTAACAGATCAGTTATTTCTTTCTCCATTCTGTCTGCCCAAGTTGCATCTCCATCAACATAAGGTTGTAACCTTTTTCTTAAAAGTAAAGCTAACTCGACTTCTCTTCTAGCCTGCTCTACTTCCATCTCGGACAACATTTGCCCTCCTTGTGTATGAATGTCTTCAATGGTCGTGTTACATTCAAATGCTAATTTAATAAAAAAGGCAACTCGTAAGGTACCCACATAATCTGACAGTTCCTCGGAACTGTATAACATCATGAACAATAAGGAAGGGTCAATCACAACCATATCTTTTGTTGCGTTGAGTCCATGTTTGTTATAATCTGCTCTCCTCTGAGGATCACTTAACACCTGATATGCTTCATTAATCTGTTGAAATTTCATTTTTGCATCGGGATCATCTGCTCTTTTATCTGGGTGACATTTCAAGGCTAACTTGTAATAGCTAGATTTAATTTCGCTATACGTAGCAGTAGGTTTTACATTTAAAATGTCATAGTAAGTTGTGTCCACACATACAGGGGTTCCTTCGGGACCATCACTATTGAACACTCCTCCTGTGTCTTCTAGCCCTATGCCAAATTTGCTTCCCTTTTTTGAAGAAGATTTATTTGAAGAATCTCCACCTTCCCCCAGGACAGTCTTTGCTTCCTCGTCTAAACAGTAACCCGTTTTATATTCGTTACAAAATGAGGGACTTTCAATATTTGAAAAAAAATTTCCCAACCCGAAATTATTGAAGAAGCCACTGCTGCTCTCACCGCTTCCACTCGGGGCAGCAGCAGCAGTACTACTACCATTTTGACCCTCTAACCCAGCATCGCTAGAAGTATGACGTGCTGTAGTAGAACCCCTTTCTCCTTTTTTATCTTTATGCTTTTCTTTCTTCCCCTTCCTACTCTTATCACTTCCAGGTTCCCTGCTACCACTGCTACTACTACGCTGCCCACATGCATTATCCATTGTACCATTCCTGTCTCTGTCCTCTGACCAATCTGTTTTATCGTTCTTGAATTTGAACTTATGTTTCCCTTTATCATGAGAGTTCGTTCCACTACCTGCGTTATTATTCTTTCCCCCATCCCTAACCCTGGGGTCTACATTGTCTTCGAAGAATGGTGGCGCGGTGGAACTGTTCGCCGCTGTAGCAGCAGCAGCCGCCAGATTAGTCTGAATGTTCGCCTCTACATTAGGCGTGCCCACATTTCCCGCAGCGACGTGGTTGCTGGGGGAGGAAAACCAACTCCCGTAATCGCCTAAGAAGCCCCAGTTCGACATGGCTCACTGCGTGCAACGCTTCTCTCTTTTTTTATACGTCTGTGTGCGTCTGTACGTGTGTGTGCGCGTGTGTTCACGAAAAAAAAAAAAATGTGCTTCTAAACGGGTAAACACACGTTATGTGTGTGTATTAACTACACATAGATGTATATTATCAGGGGCCAAATCATCCACTGGTGTTGGGGGGACTCTTCCGACACAGTTTGTCACGCGTCAGCGATGTGCTGTGTCCGTTGCCGTGACCACTCGCTCCCCTCCTCCCGTTATATATTATTCGCTTTAGGGACGGGACGGGGGGGGAAGGAAATAAAACGAAGCAATGAGGGAAATGGAAGGCTCGAAGATGATATAGGAGAACAGGAAAAAAAAAAAAAAGGGGCAGTACAAAGAACAAGTGTGTGTGTGGGGAAGGTAAAAATGAAGGGAGCACTTCAAAATGAACGTCCCATTTAAATCATTTGTAAAAATAAAAAAAAAAAAAAAGGGAAAGCTGGGTATATAGCCACAGGGCTACGCTATGGGTATTAAAAGGGGAATTGCATAAATTCAAAGCGGGACATGAAGAGGTTTAAAAAAAAAATAAACATATAAAAAAAAAAAAGGAGATCAAGTGCCTACTTAGAGTAAGCATGCAAACATGCACAACTCCGTTTGCTTCTTAAAATGTGCAGATGCTTGTTAAAATATTTCCGGCCACAGTTGGGACCATTATAATAACGGGTGAGCCAAAATCAGGAAGGAAAAAAAAAAAAAATAAACAAGCAGAAAAAACGACAAAAAAAAAAAAACAAAACAAACAAAAAAAAAAAGAAGCAGAAAAAAAAAAAAAAAACCGCGCAAATCGTGAAGCACAAAAAAGGCCAAACCCACAATTCGTGAATGTCGCAACAAAAGCATGGTCGACAAAAAAAAAAAAAATGCAATCCCCCAAAAGTGGGAGAGGCCCAAGGTGACACATGATATGTATATATAAAACGCCGACGTGGTCGGGAGAGGCTTGCCCCCTGTTGCGAGAAAAAATAAAAAAAAAAAAAAAAATAAAATAAAATAAGTACCACAAATAATTTTACTTGGCAAAATGGACCCATCAACACTTGGTTGAAGAGTTGAAGCGGCAAAAAGTGGAACACCATCGAGGAGCAGTGTTTCACAAAATGGTATTGTGGTGATCCAAATGCTCAAATGGTTACACCATGCCACTGTCCGCCACACATTGGCATAAAAAATAAAGGAAGTATACTTAACCGATTGATTATATATGTAAGTTTTTTTTTTTTTTTTTTTTTTTTTTTTAAAGGGAACAGAGACGCATGTGCGACAGTGACCCCAAACAATTTTCTCCCTTTTTCCTGTTGCTCCCCCACACCTTTCACTTCTTAACAATGCCTGATGATTGACCACCTCTCTTTATTCCTCTGTGTGTGTGTGTGGTGTCCCACCCATACGGTTCGTTTACCTCCTATGCCACATCAGCGATCGGCTGTTCATTTCCGTTGTGTTCCATTTGTGATGATAAAAAATGAACGTCCTTTAAAACTAACTGGCCATAAGGGGGGTGGGGGGGGACACCTCCCCCCCCCCCAAAGGTATCTCTGCTCCCCTTCACACCACAGGGTGCAGATGCACAAATGAAGGGTGTGAATATAAAATGGTGTAATGGCGCACACCTCCCTGTTTTTCTCTCCACGCGGGGAGAGAGAGGAGACGTGCATACCGATGCGACATTCGTGCTGTGTTCGTGTATGCAATGTAGATTCTCGCGAGAAATGTTTTATTGGTGACGGAAGTTTGGCAGGAGAAAAAACACAAACAAGCGCGTGCTGTTAACCTAGTCACGGTGCGGCTAACTTCCGTCGCGATGCAGCCAAACTAGTCCCCATGCACCGTGGACAGGCTCCTCGACTTCAAAATTCTGTTCCGTATTTTAGTTGTGAGCGAGTCGATGGTGATATGGTTAGCATGGTTGACGTCCCTCTTCGGCTCCACTTGAGTTCCTCCTATTGGCACCCTCGCCGAGCTGCTGCCTGTTACAATACCCTCCTGACTATTCCGCTCGACAATGTTATGTTCAAAAGGAGGCACTTTATTACACCCCGATGGTGTATACGATGGTGACTCCCCCACCGCTGAGTAGCTTCCCTCTCCTTGTAAACTCTCCTCCACGTGGTCTCTCCTTCTGTCCAGCGTGTCTTCTTCGAACTGCTCTGCATTCTCCACGTGATAAGAGTACCCACCACCCTTGTGCTCTTCTTTCCTCCCCTCCGTTGATGTAACAGCAAAGTTTATCTCTTTCGAGGGATGACCACTCTGGTTTGTTTCCTTTCTAGAGGACACACCATAATGTGTTGTCTGGTACGAGGTGATGTCTCCTTTTCGTACATGTCCCTGCGTAACTGGTTTACACTTTTCAGTGAGTTCTTTTTTTTTCCCCCCCCAATGAAGCGATTCTTTTTTAACACGCTGAATTTCCTTTGTGTATATATTTGTACCAGAGGGGGAGTTGCCTTCATCAGGATGAACAAATGAATGACACGATGTGGAAGAGCGGAAAGTCGCAACTGAAATGTCGTTCTCACCATTGTGTAACGTGTTAAATAATAACTCTTTAATTTGTTCATAATTCTTATGAAGCAATATTAATTTCTTGTGGTAGTATTGTGCCTGCCTCTTCCAGTGGGAACACTCCTTGGTCAGCTTGCTCAAATTATTCTGCAGCTGCTCAATCGTTTTCTCTCTTTCCTTTTCTTCTTCCTTATTTGTATTAATCAACTCACACACGAGTTGTCCAAGTGCTTCTTCCTTGTCGCTCCCCTTCCTCATGGTTAAGACGTGCGTGCCGTTGTGGTGGCCCGCTACGTCGCCGGAGTGAACAATCACCATCGTGGCATTAGCGGCGATCGCGTTGCAGATCACGCTGCCCGTCGCGTCACCTACCGTGGTGCCTTTAGAAGATGCTGCTCCCCCCACCACTTCTCCGTCTTTTCCACTCGATGCCTCCTTTGAAGAATTTCTGTTGGTCGTCCTGGAGTGGGATTCACCTGACAGGGGCCCTCCCTTCTGTCCACACTTGCCGTGGGTTATTTTCTTAAAAAAGTGGTCCCTGTTTTCTGTCTTTACGTAGAGCAGCTGCTTCCTTTTGCTTTTTATTTTTTTACATTCACTGGCCATGATCAGCGTGGAGCTGGTCAGCTGCAGGGAGGGGGGAAAAAAACGACGCGCGCTTTGCACAGCATTTGTAAATGCGTGGCGTGGTGCGACATTACACACGTGACATGGTGCGGCAGTGTACACCCCACCCCACTCCACTCCTGTACGCACGTTCTTCTGGCATTGCCTCGGGTTGAAACAAAATATGAGACACACCCCACAGGTTTTCTTAATATAGTTAAAAAGAACTTTGCACAACACGCTCTGCCTTTTGTCCGACTCGTCCAAAGTGCCCATCTGCGGAGGAAGCGGCGAGGGGGGGGGGG